TACTCCTTTCCCAATTTTGAACCAATCAGTTGTTCTATATCCAGTTCTAACTGTTGCTTCCTGTCCCACATATAGGTTTCTCAGTAGATAGATGAGGTGGTCAGGCACTCCCATTTCTTTAAGAACTTGCCATAGTTTGTTGTGGTCCACACAGTCAAAGGCTTTTGCATAGTCAATGAAGCAGAAGTAGATATTTTTCTGGAACTCTCTGGCTTTCTCCATAATCCAGCGCATGTTAGCAATTTGGTCTCGAGTGCCTCTGCCTCTTCGGAATCCAGCTTGTACTTCTGGGAGTTCTCGGTCCACATACTGCTGAAGCCTACCTTGCAGGATTTTGAGCATAACCTTGCTAGCGTGTGAAATGAGTAACATTCATGTTACATTAATGTATCTGCCTAGTTCATGATTTCATTTTGTAGACCCCCTTCCCCCCCTTTTTAAATTTCAATAGCTAATTTAAAAAAGAAAAAAACAACAGTATTGGTGATTGTGAGTGGCCCCAGCTAACCGCTCCATGACAAGCTATAGGATTCTGCTAAAAAAGAAAAGTCTTTATTTTAACTCCAACTTTAAAACGGTACAGCCAACAAGCCTGCCAACAGTGTATCCAACTGACACTCCCAGTTGCCAACTTCAGTCCAATTCAGGCCCCCAACTTAGTCCATGGTTATTCTCCAGGACTCAGCCCTAATACTGGTTAGGGCTTGCCTTGGGTGGATGGGTAAAAAGCCATTCTCTTCTACCAGGTCTAGCACCTCATGCATGTGGGCCAAAATAATAATAATAATAATAAGAGAGAGAGAGAGAGAGATGTTGCACAGAAAAGGAGACTCACCGCTGGACATTGGAGGACTGTAACGCCATGTTGCAAGGTATGGTCCTCTGAACTTCTGGGCTTGGAACACTGCCTCAAAGGTTGGTTGACACAGGTCTCTCTCAGGCAATGGCTTGCAGGTGACTGGACTAAATGTCAAGGGGAACCTTTACCTATCTATTTATCTTAACCAGTCTCTAACTCAATCTCTATCTCTTCTGACTCTGACTCTGATTAACTCTCTCTCACTCCTGACTGACTAACTCCTCCTCTCAGGCTCCACCTCTTAACCTCTTTCTCAGCTCCAGTTAACTCTCTCTCACTCCTGACTGACTAACTTCTCCTCTCAGGCTCCTCTCAGGCTCTTAACCTCTTTCTCAGCTCCCCCTCTCAACAACTTTAGCATACAATATGAATAATACATGACTTATTTTGCATAACAAGGGGTGAACGCTACACCACTCCTCATGGGGAACATGCAGGTTGACCTAGTCACTGGTCCAAGGGGCATGGCACTTCACAGTCTCCCAACCATCTTTCAAGGGGAACCTTCTTGGCCCAGAGGTGCTTCTGTGTATACACTAATTCAGATTTATTGTATTTGTCTCTTCCCAGTGTTGAGAGAACTGTCCTCTATTTTGGCTTGCTAGACTATTCATGATTAAGACTAATTAAAAACAGTTTTAATCAGTCTAAACAAAATTGTGATTGACCAAAAAAAGAGAGCTCTTTTTTCCTTTTCTTATTTTTCTTATTTTTTTCTTTTCCAGTGCTTTGTGATGGGGACGACACCTTCTTGTGCAGAAGTGGGATTTGCATCCCGAGGATACTTCAATGCAATGGCTACAATGACTGTGATGACTGGAGTGATGAGACACATTGCAGTATGTTGTGTAAATGCATCATATAATCTGTATCTGGAAAGAATTGACACTGTAACTATTCATACAGGTTTACAAACAAAAGGCAATGTGTTGTACTTGTATGATGATAACAGTTTTGCGTAGGATTTACGTATGGCCACATGATGTCCTTTTAAAGAAATCTGTGATCCTATTTACCTTTGCCCAACCTGACCACATAATGTGCTCATAGAACTTTTAAATGGTATACTTTTAAAAGCTTGATTTCATTGGCAGTTCAACAGCTAAAATTTCTGCAGACACACAGAAATAGTCTTAGTTGTTCTTAAATGTGTGAGCAATCCTCTTACAAAGGCTATCTTTGTCAAGGAACAAATTTTTCAACAAGTCCTCACTTCATACATTTTTGATAATTTTATTGGTGCTATACTGCAGCACATGGAAAATGACTTCCTTACAGAATTATTTTTGATTTACCCCGAAGGTAAAAATATTTGTTCATTTAAGAAATGTTGTGGCAACTGTCATGTGGTTTCTTTACTATATAGTATATTTAGCTGCATCATTTTTTTCTGTATTACAGTATTCATTCCTAATACATGAATATGGGTAATCTTTCTCCGCCTGTTTGAAATACAGTTACACGCAGGAAGCAGTGGAGAACATTTTTTCTATCCTTCACATATCAGATGAGTAGAGAACTCCCACTGCTGTTGAGATTCACATTGGGTGAAATTACTTTTTAGTGTTATAACTCCCAGAACTTTCCACCAGGATGGCCAGGAGAGTCTGAGAGCTGTAGTCCAAAACCGTTAACTTTTCAAACTCTGCTGTATAATGTGCTCAGCGGGAATAAATCTGTATCTGGCTTCTGATTCTCTTGAGGGAAACCTTGCTGCCACTGGAGTGATCCAACACAATTGAGATTCTGCTGATCAGTGATACGGCAGCATGAAGCTGGACTGTGGGCAAAGCAGTAATGGCAGGCACAAGGCATGGCAACATCTGAATTGGATCTGTCTGCCAGCCCTCCCCAGGAGGTGAACTTCCCAGGAAAAGGGTGGAACCCAAGAGCAAGAAAAAAAATATATTGCTGCACTCTCATACACAATGATCTTGTTCTGGCAGAGCAAGTCAACATGCTCGAAGGCAATTCTATAAATGGAAGCAGCCCCCCCAAAAATTATAGCATTGAAACTAAGCTTCCAGAAAGAGGGAAGCTTCAGATCAGCACCAAATTTAGCACTGTTGTAGCAATGTACATTATATACATTCATAGGCAGTGATGGAGATATCTGGAGATAAAAGTCCTAGAAACAAATTGAAAAGACAGATTTTCTTTAAAGAGTGAAAAAAAACCACCTAGGTTTGCTTTAAAGAAAGTAACGGAATGACAGGTCCTCCAGAAAGAGGGAAATTTTTGCCATGTATCCTCAGGGAATTAGCATACAATGTTGTAAGTCATTCAAAATATTGTCCCTTTTGTTTTGATCTTGTCAATCAGGACCCAATTAGCCAGCTTTTTAACTCCTACTTGACTGAACAGACTTGTCAGGATAAAGCTTGCAAGGGAATTCTGTGTCTGGTTGTTAAAATGGAAACACATAAGAATATTAAAACACTTGCCTTATTGAGTCAACTAGGTCTTCCTCTTTTTCTACTGTCCCCCCTTTCCCAGAAATATTATCAGTTCTATATTATCATTATATGTGCAAACTAGGATAGCCTCAATTTCCACACTTTTGTTCTAGTGAAAATGCGTACTTTACTTTTTGGTGGTCTGTAGCAGCTGTAAGGCTCATCTCCAATATTATACTGATTCCATACCACCACCATTTTATTTCATTGCCTGCCTTTTATATAGTGTGGATGATTTTGAGCTTGGTTTCAAGTGATAATCTTTGCTAACTCTCAGCCGCCACTTTTTTTTATTTCAAAAGATGAGGGGATGTCTTTTGAAAAACATGCAGGAAAATTGTTTGTAGAGTAAGAGTTTGGAAATTGGGGGACAGCTTTCTAGTCTGCATTCTGAGGAGGGGGCATGGCAACGTTCATTGACCTGAATGATTAAAGGGTGTGTATGTTCCTGTGTTGTATGTCTTGCACTCACTCACACTTTAGCTTCAATATTTCACTAAGTCCAAAACAGCTTTTCAAAATATTTTGGCAGGGAGGGACTAGAGCAATATATCAGTTATTCTTGGTTGCTAGACTATTGCTGAGTGGGCCCCTGTGCTTCTAAACCAGGCTCAAAGAAATATCACACAAAATTATTTTGTAAACTAAAAAGCCCACAACTTTTTTGGTTACAGCAACAGTCCCTGGCCAGCACTGGGGAGGTGGATCCAGTGCCCTCCGCCATACTAGCCACCATTCATTCTAATCTAGCCCTTGTTCAAAGAACAGAGAGTCAGAAATGGCCAAAACCAGACCTGGAGAAGGCACTTCTCTCCATGGTACATCCTTCCTAGCATGCTCCCACATGTAGGGTAGGAATAGTGATACTGGAACTTGCAGGGCATTTTTCAGGCTCAAGGTAATGAAACTCCTTTGAAGGGTTCTAGTCTCCAGTCTGGTGTCAGAAATCTGGTCTATTTCTTCAGCGAGCAGCTTGGCTTCCTCTTCTTCCCATGAGCTTGTATTGGAGCAATTCATAGGGCTAGGGACATATTAACCACGTATTTGCAATGACTATAGACTAAGCTAGATCTGCTACTAAATACATCATTGTGCTTGTTTCTTCATAGATGCTGCACAAGGCCAATTCATATGTGAACTGGCCTTGTGCAGGGACTAACCCTTTCTTCTCTAAATTTAGTTCCCACTAAAATCATCATCTTCCTTGTGGAAGAGTTTTCTGCACATATCTTAAGCTCTAAAGATTGAACCAGAAGGGGCTAGGCTAAACATGTAGAGAACAAAAACAACACACCTTGTAAAATGGATGAATGTTGAAGAATGTCTCTCACCAGGACAGGATTCTAGCTGGACCATCAGTGAAGTAGGAAGATCAAAGAATAAAAAAATAAATAAAATGGAGCTCCTTAGACACAGGACAATTTTTTTGTGACTGTGGAGCAATTAAATCAATGTAGCACTTACGTGCATGCAATTTATGACCCACCATGTGTAGAAAAGAAGATCTAGCAAATGCCTAAGATAACACTATTGAAATAATCCATCTCTGGTCAAGAGTGGTTTAATCATTAAGGTGAGGATTTCTATGACCCCAAAAAATGTCAGAAATATGCAAGCATTTATGATCTTTAAATCATTTAAACATGCCCAATTAAACTAAAAATATGACTTTATAATTTTTCTGAAATTAGCACCTGTGAGCCACCCCAGCCACCCCTTCCATGATGCAAGGGTGAGCCTTTGCAGAATAAGGAGCTTTATTAACACAGGGGAAGGGAGAAAACAATTCCCATTAAAAGTATTTTACAGAATCAGTTCTGGCTTGACCCTGAACAGAAATAGCCATAGGCAGGCCCAGGCCCCAATAGGTGGCAGGTATGTAGACCTTTGCAGACCCAGGACCTCCTGGACTGCTAACTGAAAAGTCCTTAGCAGGATCAGGCCCCTCCAGGCAGGGCAAAACACAATTCTTGACAGACCCAGCCTCTGCCAAGCTGGGGACAGAAGAAGTCCTTGGGGACTCAGGCACCTCTAGGCAGTTGGAAGACAAGTCCACAACTAGGTCCAGCTCCTGAAATGAGCCACAGACCATAGTCCAATGGGTCAACCCAGTTTTATGGGCACCAGGGAATTATTTCACTCCTAAAGTTTGTAAGTACAGCTGGTTCAGAATGTCTCTTAAGGAAAACTGCCAGGGATTCTGCAGGCAGGAGACACACTGTCCTTCCATGGCCACACTCTCTAGTCCTTGGTCCCTGATATAAGAAATGTTCATCCGCCCCTCCTTCCTGGGTGGCATAACCGTAGGCCAAGCAGAAACTGATTCATGAGATGACTGGGCACAGGGAGTGGAGGGAGACATCAGGCTGAGTGTGGTAGCTGGAGAACCAGGGCTCAAGGCATGGGACCAACCGCTCACCTGTTTGCCTCCAGTAGCACCTGATGTCTCTGTAGCTTTCCAGGCGCCTTGGCTCCTGTAGCCTTGCCCCCTTTCAACTTACCCTGGCAACCTCTTCAAGTATTGCTGCCAGCTCCCTTCGAGATGGCTCAGCACAGACCTCTCCTTTCTCGAGCACAGCTGAGTATTCCGCATCATGGCAGTGGTCCTCCTCCTCTGATTCTTCCAGTCTGCCTTTTATCTGCAACCCACTCTGTGAGGACATCGGTGGCTTCTCCTCAGCCTTGCCCCATTATCTAGGTGTAGCCTATGGAGATAGTGTGCCCGCAGTGCCCAGCGAGGTGGTCTGCCCACTATGCCAGCCAGCCACAGCTGGGGCAGTCTCACAGCATTTTTAATAAGCAGATTAAAAATATGTTTACACACACACATAAAAATTAAGAAGTTTATTCTTCACTTCCAGTGCAGAAGTACTAGTGCTGAAGAAATCAAATATTTGAGTAAAATGATCATACCTGGATTAGTTTTTATCAATAGCAGAATGGCATTGGACAATCACGTGCATCTTGAGGTTATCAAACTCAAAAATTCTATTGTCCGTCAGTATGTTCTTATATCTGGAGAAACTGTTCAACACCACAAGAGGTTATAGGAACAAATTTGAAAAAGGCCAACTCATCTGGAGAAAAATCTAATTTAAAGTCATCAAATTCTGCTTCATTAATTAGTTTGCAAAATATCGAGTAATCTAGATTAGATTTCATTAGCTACACCTCTTCTGCTTACATCATTTCTATCATCTATTGAAATTCATATCTCATTGTTGTCAGCAGCAGATCTTATCTTTCCTGACACATCTTCACAGTAGGCAGAGATGCAATTTTTCCTTAGAGTTGATTCATTTGGAATCAGGTGACTGGTGTACTTTACGAAATATCTGAGGCTACCACTACCTAATTTCTTTATGGGAATATTTGAAGCACCCATCATGGTGCAGAGATCCTTACAAAATTCTGACTGGGTATTTGATGAACCTGCAAGTTGAAGAGGAAGCTCTTTTGAAAAGGAAATGTTGCAGGTTCTTAGTGAAGGTAAATTTTGCTAAACAACTCTTATATTTCACAGTATCACAATGTTGTTGAACGTTAAAACACTTTTGAGCTGACACCTTAACCTCATACAATTTACAAAACAAAATATCACCATCAATACTGAGAATCCACTCCTCAAACTCTTGAAGAAAACACTGTAATTTTACACTCGCTCTACATGTACTTTTACACATGTTGAAATCGTCAGAGGGTTGCTGACAAATTATGACCAAAATATAACATTTATTACCAAATGAAGCAGAAACATGATGTAACACTTTTAAAAGATCAAAATATTACTTTCAAGGCAAAATAAAAACCATTTAATAATCACCAGATTGTTCATAAACATGTTTAAACTTATAAATTCAAATAAAGGTTTTAGGGAAAAAATGACATGTCATGGCAATCCTCGCCCTATTAATGATTTTAACACTTTAATTTGTTTTAAAGTTTACTTATATTTAAAATGCGTCTACAATTTTAAATTGTGCAGCACTCTGATACAAATGAAATAAATAAATTGTGGCTGCCAGTCAAAATGTGTCAGAGGAGATATTCTGAGGGAATTACAAACTTTAGAAGAGAAAGAAAAGAAAACCAATGGCAAGCATTAGCAATCTTTTTGTTGGAACATATGGATGCATGAACAGATAGAATGGTCTGGAGGCCTCATGCTGGTACAGTTTCCACAAAAATAATACAACTGATTTCAAACTCAGCTGGGTGCTGCATTACTCAGTATGAAACCATCTACAGAACATACATATTTTTATTTAATTTATAATGTATGTGTTTGGTATTTATTGTCCTGTCATTCACTGTGTTCTTTCAGAGCCATATAAAGAGTACTCTGGAAAATTCAGGACACTGTGGACTATTACATTCTTTCCTCTGTAACAGCAGTGGGAGTTTGCTTTCGTGTGGTCTACTGGATATGTTGGACTTCACTGAGAAGACGTGGGTTTAAATCCAGTTTAGTCATAAAGCTTAGGGCATGGCTGAAAGTCTTTACAGGAAGGGGTATTTTGGAACTGGCCTAAGGCCTTAATTCTTCTGCACTTCACCTTTTCTCTTCAACAAATTCCTCCCCCTCCCCTCGGCTACTAAACACATTTTTACTCATAAACATGTTTTAACTTACATATAAATTCAGATAAAGGTTTTAGAAAAAGTATGACATGCCATAGAAATCCTCATCCTTGTGATAATGTATATTTCCTCAGTACAGTAGTATGTTCTACTAAGCGTGCATAAGATTACATCTCTGGTTTAATGCACTTCCTAATTGCTGTAAACATGTTGCATACATAGTGTCATGAATAACTGCAACCCTGTAGTGCCGATCAGTGTGAATTTTCACATTTCGCGATTTGTTGTTGAGTAGGGATGAGGCTGAGAAATAGGAAGGCAGCTCAACTTGTTCAATGTAAGGTGGGGTTTGAGGCAGGAGATTTTGAACTCATTCTCTTACTTGCTGTGCTAGACTAACTCAGCGGAAGGCAACAATAATTATTAAAGGCACAAATTCTTACTATTAAAAAAGTTAACTAATTCCATCTCTCTATTCAGGTTGAGTTTGGTGAATTTGCTAAATTCTTCTCATTCTAGACTTTTGCATTGGAACTAATAGAAAGAAAATAATAAGTTATGCCACTGACATAACTTATTATTTCCTTTCCATTAGCTCCACTGCAAAATTCTAGAATGAGAAGAATTTAGCAAATTCACCAAACTCAACCTGAATAGAGATATGGAATTAGTTAACTGTTCTTAAATACTAAGAATCTGTGCCTTTAATAGCTGCAAAATAGACAAGATCTAACAAGTACTGTACTCTGCTCTTATTGTAAACCTGTGTGAAGTGTGGCTTCTTCTTCATGGTTTCTGTGAATGTATACTAATGAGTTAAGTCTGCACATGCACAGAGGCCTTGGAATATTCTGGAGCTGAAAATATCGCTAGGACTGCACACCCACAGCCCACATGGTCCGTCTGTTCTAGCGGTTACCTCAGTTCCTTTTTTCCCTGCTGCAAAAAAAGGTCATTTCTCTGGAGCTCTCTCTCACAGATTAATTGGTTTATCTGAAAGAGAAATCACAACCCTTGGTTCCCTTTCTCTTCTACATTTCATATTCCTCTTGATTATTCATTGATTATCAAAAGAAAAAAGAAAGAAATAAGAGAGGAGATTGTTATTACTTCAATCATTCACACACACACACACACACACACCGGTTTCTTTCCTTCATTGCTTCGTTTTCCCACCTTTTATGGCTCCTGTGGGCCCCTTTAAAAAGTGTGTTTCCTACAATAATAAGATCCCTACTTCAGATGGTCACAAAGCTTGCTTATTTTGTCTTGGTGAAGCCTATCAACCTTCTGCTTGTCCACATTGTAACAATTTCACAAAACAAGCTATAAAGTTAAGACAACAAAGACCAAGGGCTTTCCTTTGGAATCAGTCCATCAGTCCTTCATCCAAAATGGACATTCCCAGACTCCTCAGCTGCCAACCACTTCTCCTATAGCATCTCCGGCTCAGTCCCCAAAAGCAAAAGTTACCAAGTCTAAGTCCTCCAGTTTGACTGCTCATTCTACACCCTCGTCTAAGCTAAGATCTAAACCAACCTCTGCAAAAACCAAGAAGTCCAAAAAATCTCCACCAGAAGTTCATCCTTCAGTACAGAAGTAACCCAATGCACAGCACAGAATTGATCTGGACACTGACAAGGAATCAATTCTACCAATATCAAAACATCCTCCCTCTCTACTGCTCACCAGTTCACCTTCCTGGATAGATTCCTCGGCTGAGGTACAAGCAGGGCACAAGGTTACCCTATATCCTGATGTCTCTTTCCTTCCCAAGGGTTCTACTGATTTTTATATTTGGCAGCCAATCATTCTGCCTACGTTTTTTCCTAAGCCTTCCACTGGTGTTGAGAGTCACTTCACCTTTTGGATGTGCGACACGCTTTGGCCTTCTATGTTAAAAGGACTGCTTCCTTTAGGAAGTCTAAGGGTTTGTTTGTTTCACCTCATTCACCTCACAGAGGACAACAGGTTTCTCCCCAAAACATTTCAAGGTGGATTATCCAGACTATTCGTCTTGCCTACCAATTGCCTAAGAAGCCTACTCCGGGCCGTGTCAAGGCACATTCCACCAGAGTGCTGGCAACATCCACGACCTTTCTAAGAGGTGTCCCAGTCCAAGATATCTGCAGGGCCGCCACCTGGTTGACTCATCTACTTTTGCATCCCACTATTGTCTGGACATGCATGCCAAGGCAGGTGCAGGTTTTGGACATGCGGTTCTATCTTCAGTGTTGCCGTGACATCCCTCCACCTTTGAAGGTAGGCTTGTCATTATTGTGCATTCACAGAGACCACAAAGAAGAAAGAGAGGTTACTTACCTATAATTCTGGTTCTTCAAGTGGTCATCTGTGAATTCACACTTCCCGTCCATCCTCCCTTCTGTCTGTAACCTCTCTCTCTCTTTCTGAGCAGCAGCGGAATTGGGGAACTGAGGTAACCAACTAGGACCACATGGGCTGCGGGGGGGCGGCGGTCCTAGCAATCTTTTCAGCTCCGGAATATTCCAAGGTCTTTGCACATGTGCAGACTTAACCCATTGGTGTGAATTCAGATGATCATTCGAAGAACCAGAGTTACAGGTAAGTAACCTTTCTTTTTCCTGCTGATTTCAACTCTAATGCATCTGCTGAAGGCACATAGCTATTATCCATTAAAAATGGTGAGAATAGTTTTATATAAAATCCATTTGCTTTAATATTTTTACTTTTTCAATATTCAGTCCTTTTATTGGTAATTCCTTCTGACCTGGCTCAGATTAACTCCTGTTACCAGTATATCATATGCTGTGTAATTAATGAAACCAACTTTTAAATATGTTTGTTTTGCAGACTGTAGTGAAGGAATTTTCCGCTGTGGCACAGGAAAATGTCTCAATTATACATTTGTTTGTGATGGGTATGATGACTGTGGAGACCTAAGTGATGAACAGAATTGTGGTAAATAAAAATTGTTGCTGTTTCATTGTTAGAAAAGCTTTAATGAAGAAAATTGATTTCCACCTTCTCATAGAAAAGTGGTGAGAGAAATCCAGAACCAAAGCATTACTGACTCCAAGAGCCAGACAAAATATATAATACACAGCCAAGTTAATTCTGAAACCACAGTCCCCGTTTCTTTGTCAGCAGAAGCCAGTTTGGGATGGCCAGAGGCCTACATTTGTCAAAGGTTAAACACATTTAAGACCATTTTAAAATATGTAGATTTAATTTTGCTAAAGTAGTACTGGATTTGATTTTGCTAAAATAGGTTCCTTTTGACAATTAAGTTCAGTCATGTCTGATTCTAGGGGCTGGAGCTCATCCCCATTTATAAGCTGAAGAGCTGCCATTTGTGTGTAGACACTTTCCATGGCCATTTGGCTGGCGTGACTAGATATGGAATGCTGTGCTGTTTTTATTTCTCCAGCATCATAATTTGGAGATGCTGGATGGAAATATACCACAAAAGAAATGCATTTTTCATTGTTAGCATTATAATTCTGATTGAAGAAAAGTTCCCTTGAAGTGACTCTTTTTATGTTGGAATCAACAATAATTGGAGGATATCCTTTGTGGGTTAAACGTTTCTTGAGTTGTAGTATTCTCCCCTCCCCCCCCTTTGGTGTTACAAATGCATCTGATTCTAAGAGCCAATTACTTTATATGTTTGGGGAGGCAGGATTTCTAGTTAAGTTATATGTGAGCAACATAAGAGTTTTTATAAATGTCAGGGACAATTTTCTTGTTTGGTTAAAAAAAACTGAAAAGAACTACTTTCTATTCAAGGGAATATATTGTCCATCAAAATGTAAATCTAATATTGAGCAATGCAGTCCTTTTATGGGAGATTTCCATCCAGCATCCACAAATTATGGCAATGCAATTGCAGAAAGCTATTCATTGTTAGCAAACTCAGACCATCGTGCAAAAGCCATCAGCAAGCCTCCTGTGACAGTTTTCTGCTAGCCATAAAACCTACAGAAATTACTGGAAAGAGGTACCCTCAAGACTTCAGTCAGCAATCCTGGCTAGCACTATGGTTGGCTTGTCCTGCTATATCAGACGAAACATCTATAGATCCTGTAGTGTAATTTTTATCATTAAGCGCAGATGATCAGAATGCCTTCTGCAATAAGTGGACAAAATGATAACAAATCTACATGCTAGTTTCATAAACCACGAGTCTGTCATCTTGACTAAAGGAGTTGGAACAACCACCATCCAGACACTTTTGAACATCATAGCCTGTCTGATTTGTCTTTGGTTGGAATAGAGATACCACCAAATCCAATCCATTAGAAAAGAGAAGCATTCTGGTTTTACAAACTGGATACCTTAATAGCTCATGGTGTGAATCTAGAAGACAAACATAACATAATTTACTCTCTTGTAATAACCTGTTCTCTAGGTTCTGTAATTGCCATCTGGGAAAGAGCATGCTTTTTTCCAGAGCAATTGAAGAAGGTGGAAGCCAAATTGTTGTGCTCAAATATTTCTGTTTGTTCTTGACTCCTGTTGCTAGGCTCATCTGCTGGCCAGGCCAACAGAAGTGATGGGCCAATGGGTTGAGGAGGAAGCAAGAAGAGTGAGGGTCAAATAGCACAACATGAGAAGCTGAAATCATGTTAGTGTTTTGAAGACATGATTGTGGCAGAACTGCATGTCTGAGTCATCATACTATTTTTAAAAAGCCCATGTTGCTGGTGATCATAATGAGAAGACACATCAGTGCAGTGAGTATGATAAATTGCTGCTGACTACTACCGGATGGATCTTCTGGAATTCAGTAGCTTTCTTCTCTCTGTTCCATCAAATGGTGATCGTAAAATATCCAAAAAACAACTGGAACAAGTCTTTTAATACATAGCTAGTTGGATTTCCAATAACCAAAAATAAAAAATAAAATCTGCTTCCTCAAAGCCCTCCAACTGAACTGACTGGTATGTATTCCAATAGGTGAGGGACACATTCACATTAGTGCAGCAATTTGAGATGGGTCTGCTTTTAAATACTGTGGAGCCGGGGTAAAGAGCACAGTTTCTTCCTGAGGAAGAATCATAGAACATGGGAGACACTGCAGACTAAAACAATTGGCAGTAGCTGAACATGCCCTAAAACAAGCTGGACATGACATTCTATTTCAAAATACTGAAATACTGGACAACACCAGCAATCACTACATTAGACTGCACAGGGAAGCCATTGAAATCCACAAACTTCAGCAGAACTTCAACAGGAAAGAAGAAAGCTTGAAACTCAGCAAAACCTGGCTCCCAGCAATGAAAAATACAGCAAGCAAAAGGTCGACGAACTCTACTCAGCCACAAGGAACGGTGATCATTACACACAATAGACCAGCTAACGACAACCATCAATCACAGTGATAGATAATCTCTCCTCCTTATCACAACAATACACCCACAACTAAAATACACTGATCACCATAATCACCATCTCCTTAACAGGACAAAAGCTGATACAGCCATAAATGCTCAACTCCCAAACAAACTGCACCAGAGCACAGAGTGAAGATGCTGGCCACAGAGACTGATGAAATGTTAGGAAGAACAACCTTCAGAACACGGCCAAAGACCCTGAAAAACCCACAACAACCATTTCCAGTAATGTTTCTCAAATTATTATTCTCTCTGATACAATGTTTTTAAAGTATTGAACCATTGTAATATACCTTCATTCCGTGGCCTGACAATCATAGAATATAATTATATTTATATTGTCTTCTTGAAAAATGTCATATTTCTCAAAATATTTTGGACAGTGAAGTCTTTACTGTACTTTTGCGGATATTTTGCCAATGACAGCCTGCAGCATAGGAACAAATTAAATGGAGAAATGTCCATTAGGGCTGCCACATATGCCACTTCTTATACTGACACAAGAGACTTTGTGCTACAAACAATTGCAAAGCAGACACCAATTTAACATAGAAAGCTGTTTTTGATACTCAACAAGTACTATAATCTAGAAAACTTCACCTAATTAAATTCTTCCTTTCACACATCAATATCAAAAGAAAAGATACCAACTTTGGGAACAGAAAAAACAGAAGCTAATCATATTGCGCAATTTATGCCCATTTTCAGATCATCATGAAAATGCAGGAGCCAGGATTAATCAACTCTGCAGCTAACACAGCCAATTGTCCACCAGACCTTTCCATTTCTGTTTTTTAGGAGCAAACAATACCTAAGAAATCGCTAAATGATTCTCCCAACAACTTTCTCATTCAGTGCGAGCAGTCAGCCACCCCATCAAGTCATAGCAATGGTATCAAAGTATAACAAATCCCCTTTATGTCACCATACATTTTCCTGAGGCAATTCCCCTCCAGTGCAGTCATTAGTTGAAGCATGAGAGAAAAGACCATTTAACTCCCTGTCCTTTTCTTCTTTTCCATAAATATCAGCTTTGTGGAGATATTCTGGAGTGTAGCTGGCACTGCTTTTAAAGATTTCAGGGGTCTGAGAGCCAGCGTGATGTAGTGAATAGGGTGGCAGTCCTAACTCGGGAGACTTGAGATTCAGTCTCTGCTTGGTCATGAAAAGTCATTGGTGGAGTGGCTCGCTTATGTAACTGACCTCTGAGAGACAATAGTTTCCAACCTAGTTGTATATAAAGCAGTACAATGAATTGTTTAATTCTCTTTTCTTCCTTTTTATCAATATTTTTCTAATAAAGATTGTGATCCAGTAATTCAGCACCGATGTGGAGATGGAAGATGCATAAGAATGGATTGGGTGTGCGATGGTGACCATGACTGTGCAGACAAATCAGATGAGGTCAATTGTTGTAAGTTATAAGTTACCTGATCCAGTCTTAGTGTCAGTATTTTAAAAAGCATCAGAGAAGCATCTTACTAGGAATAAAAGGACAGGGAAAAAAATTACATCCTGATTTTGGTACTTTTCATTGAGAATCTCATCGAGAATGTAGTTTCTAATTAAATGCAGTATTTATTCCAGTATTATAATATTATGTTATGTTACTCTTTAATTATTAGATATAAATACAAGCTCATATAACCCTAAATTGGTTAAAGTCCTGTCGCGTGTAGCTATGCCAGCATGAAGGAATGATATCACTGGCAATGTCAGATAGCCATTAATTATAGAATCCCTCCACAATGAGAAAAAGTCATAGGTGATTCTGAATCAAAGTGGGATTTTTCAGTTATGGCAATTTGTTGTGACCTGTGATGTTGTTGCCTCTACACCGATATAGCTACAAAGTTGGACGTTTGCCATCAGAATCCTATAATTTCTGCGATATATTTATCCTAACCTAGGGATGACACATTAAATGAGCTTTACCTGTATGCAGTTCTTTAATCTGATGGAAATAATATATATTTTTGTTTTTCACAGCATGTCACAGTCAGGGGCTGACAGAATGCAGAAATGGCCAATGTGTTCCTGGTGCTTTCCGTTGTGATGGAGACAATGACTGTAAGGATGGAAGTGACGAAGAGAACTGCAGTGAAAGTAAGGGGGATTTGGTGTGTTGTTCATTATTTAATGTGCAGTTGACACATCTGAAAGTTTCTTTTGGAAGATAAATAGTGACATCTGCATATTCCAGGGGACAGTGAAATTCTTTTGAGGATGGTAGCACAGTATCTCCCAAATACTATTACAGTGGTGCACCGCATAGCGACGTTAATCCGTTCCAGGATTAACGTCGCTAATCGGATTCATCGCTATGTGGGGGGGAACCATAGGAACGCATTAAACTCCATTTAATGCATTCCTATGGGGCGAAAACTCGCTGCTATGTGAAGATTCCCCCATCTGGCTGCCATTTTTGCTGCCCAGTAAGCGAGGGCAGGGCGCGAAAATGGAGCGGGTAGCCATTTTGGAACCGCTGATCAGCTGTTTTTAGAACATCGCAATGCGAAGATCGGTAAGCGAAACACTTACCATATCGCAATGCGATGTTTTGCCATTCAAAACGTCGCAATGCAATCACATTAGCAATCGCAAATAATGTGTTGCTATGCGGATTCTTCGTTAAACAGTGTGCTCGTTAAGCGAGGCACTGTATTTTATTTAAAAGTGTCTTCTACACTGTGTTCTCTTGGCCTACATCCATCTCTTCATGACTCAGGACAGAATCCACTGGGAGATCAGGGTTTTCCCAACTACACAAATTTCTTACCAAACCTCCTCCCCCAAAGTCCAACACAAATCTTTAGACTTTGTAGTTGCTTTTGCATCTGTTATGCTGCAGATAACAAGGCTTGCGGATGTTCAGTACTGATGAACTTGAAGAAGAGGAGGTTCTGGCCAAAATGAAGATGCTGTCTTAATGTGGTTTGGGTAGTATGGAAACCAAGCAATTCCTAACCATTTCAAAAACTGTGTTAATATGACATGGTTACCTGCACCTTTTAACAGATGACCTTACCTTCTGTGAGGCTGGCACTCTACTGTGTATCTGTGTCAGAGTCCATTTTATATGTTTTTGTTTTGATTTGTTCCTTCCTATAGATATCCAGATAGCATGCTGTTTAAGAAAAGAAATATCCTGCTGTCTTGCTTTTGATGACAAAAATTGGAGCCAGGGTGTCACAAGCATTATAAATCCTTTACAATATCCTAGTTCTTTCTTAAACCTGTCACTCTGAGAAAGGGAGTATACTCCCTTATTTTTTAATTTAAAATGCTAGGCAGAGGTATTAGGAGTAAGCTCCAATAAACTTGTGAGTAGACATGAATAGACTTGCAAAGTTAGTTACCCAATAAATGAAACAAATAAAATATGTGCGTATTGATGCATAAATGTGAAGTCACTACAGACAAGAGAGGTGTGCCAAAGCAATAAAGAAAAGAACATATATGAAAGGTGCAGTAAAAAATTGCTTTTGGTTGTTTATTTTAATGGTGTTTTGAGCTGTAAGGCTCTTCCCCAGGGATATTAACTTCCTTGCTAGGGACACTCTCTTTCCAGTATTTGCAAGTGGTATGGTAGGAAACATATTTAGCTGTGAATCTAGTACTTGCAGAAATTAGTTCAAGTTTCTTTCCTACTGCATGGCTTAATGTGAATTTAGCCCCATGCCCTGTTGCAAAAGCTATGCATACATGTAAAGAAAAAGTAAAGGAGAAAACGCCTTTTACCATGTTTCTTTTCTAACTACTGTAGAACAGCAACCAGCCCTAAATATCTGAGATCCAGCATGGTGCAGTAGCTGAATTGTTGGGTCAAGAGCAGGGGTCCTCAACAATTTTCACACCGCGAACTGGCTGGGGAAGGCGGGGAACCCCCCGTGCTCATGCGCATGCCTGAACAAGTGCACGGTCTCTCTTGCACAAATGAGCGTGTGCTTGTGCGCATACACAAACAGCGGCACTGCGCTTGTGCAGGCATGTGCGCTCTTGTGCGGCACTCACATGGGCATGCTGGAGTGTGCATGCATGTGCAAATCAACTGTGCAGGGGTGAGTGCATACAGGGGGGAGGGTGGGAGGTCTGTCTCTGCAGCCCAGTCTGGCTCAGGCCACGGACCGGCACCGGGCTGTGGACCGGGGTTTGGGGACCTCTAGTCTAGCGTAAGTTTGCAATTCTGTTTCAGCTATGCAGGTCCCCCAGATGTATATCCAAAATATTTTAAGTCCACATATAAAAATACATAGCAGAAGTGTTTCATTAAAAAAAAAAGAACAATATAGCACAAGGGCAATTAAAAACATTAGCTGTGTTTGTCAGTTTAATTATCCTCATTTCTAGAAAATTTAAATAGCTTTGTGGCATATTTCTGTCTTTATATATAATTAACTAGAAAAAAGGATTAATGGGGTAGATATGCTGTGGAGTATCACTTTGCGGAGATATGCTAATTGTTTGGTATAGCAGAGTGCATGAATTGAATAGCTTTGCATTTAAAGTTATATGAAATATTATTTATAATATTTATTCCTATATCTATTAAAATATTTTTAAATGATCCTTCTCTTTCATAGATACCAGGGCAGTGTATCAATAAAAATACAACCATAACAGACAACTAAGCAATAAAAACCCAAACCATTATTATCAAAACAAAACAGCAGTGAAAATGATAAAACAGACCAAACTGACCAATAAAAATGTATTGTCAAATAAAGAAATATTGAGTTGACATCAAAACAGTTACAATGTTAGTGCCAATTACATGTCCATGGAACAGGCATTTTTTCACTGGGACATTTTTTCTTTCTGACATAATGGTTAAAATTCTGTTGCATAGCATAGTAAAGCATACTAGAGTAGCCTATTGAATTAATCAACAATTTTATGACGAGTGCTAGAATACTAATAGATAGGTTTTGGAAAGACAAAAATGATATTAAAATAGAAGATTGTTATAGTGAAGTATGGGACATTGCATTAAACGATAAATTGACTATTGAACTTAAAATAAAAAGAGGGAAAATAAGCTCTAATAATTTTTATGATATTTGGGGTACATTTGTGGAATTTGTGTTAGTGAAAGGAAGGGGGAAAGCCTCTAAAGAAAATTCTATACAATTTTGGAGAGGTAGTCCGTAATTAAAATAGTGTTAAATGGAGTCCCATGGGTATGGGGTGCACGTTAGAATTTAGTTTATAATAAGCACTATTATTTGTATGTTTTTGTTTTTTTTTTAAAAAAATTAGAAATAAAAAAATTTAAGAATATATAATGAATTAAATGAGCTCACATGGGAAAAATGGGTGTCAGGGAGGAGCTGAGATTTTTCAAACTGAGTTTCAGTTATAAATGTATGATAGTTCTGCAAGTATAATTTTGGAAGTACATGCAAACAAAAGGAAACAGGGCCCTAACCTTTTTCTGCTTTATGAAAACATACCCAAACTAAAATTAAGGGCAACCTGCTCTATGGTTGTGTGATATATGTTTAACTAAACGAGCAAGACAAAGAAAGCTGACTGCCGAAGAATTGATGCTTTTGAATTGTGATGCTGGAGGAGACTCTTGAGAGTCCCCTGGACTGCAAGGAGAACAAACCTATCCATTCTGAAGGAAATCAAGCCGAGTGCTCACTGGAAGGACAGATCCTGAAGCTGAGGCTCCAATACTTTGGCCATCTCATGAGAAGAGAAGACTCCCTGGAAAAGACCCTGATGTTGGGAAAAGTGTGAGGGCAGGAGGAGAAGGGGACGACAGATGATGAGATGGTTGGACAGTGTCAGCGAAGTGACCAACATGAATTTGACCCAGTTCTGGGAGGCAGGGGAAGACAGGAGGGCCTGGCATGTTCTGGTCCACGGGGTCACGAAGAGTCGGACACGACTAAACGACTAAACAACAACAACAAACGAGCAAGAGTCAGGTGTGAGGATTTGGTTTTTGTAGTACAGTACTTGTTTTTCAGGGTTCCACAGATGTTTCCATCTTGGCCTGAGAGCCAGCTCTTATTGTGGCATTCAAAGGAGAAGAGCGAAGGTCACACCTCAAGACTGATAAACATTGAATTCCATTCTAAGTGTTTACCAGCCTGGGAATGAGAGATTGCATGGTGGAAAGATACAAGAGGGGGGTGAACTTGTGACCAAAACCTCATTGGCTGATGTTCCACTGCCCAGCTGTGACGGACAGGTGAGGGCAGGGCTGATTTGGAGAAGAAGGCAGTGACAGGTTTAAAGCCTTCCTTGACTGATTAGGAGAGATAGCAATGGTTACTTAGAATAGCATGGTGTAGCGAGCACGCTGAAGCCTCTACCAACTCAGGCCTCCAGGAGTGCTCACTCTTCTTCTTCAGTTGCTGCCACCAATTTTATCCAATATTTAAAAAGACAAGTGTTGTTTCAAAATAAAAACTTGTTTATTGGTTTAACAAAATAAAGTAAGTTAATGACAAAATGTTAATCAAGGTCTCTCACTCATTGACACACACAGACTCTTCCCTCACTGACTATTTGGTTCACAGGCCCATAGACACACTCATCACTCACTCTCTCAAAGTCTCTCTCTAATCTCCTTCTCCCTCATCATACACCCCTTTATATATTCCAGCTCCTCCCCCTTCTGCACCACCTTCCGTCCCCTCATTGGCTGATGTTCCACTGCCCAGCTGTGACGGACAGGTGAGGGCAGGGCTGATTTGGAGAAGAAGGCAGTGACAGGTTTAAAGCCTTCCTTGACTGATTAGGAGAGCTAGCAATGGTTACTTAGAATAGCATGGTAATTAAGTAGTAAAATCATTAGTTAGTTAATCATGTTATTGTTTTATGGGAAAGACTTGCAGGAGCTTAATACATAGATGCTTGGCATTTAACAGTACACTTTGTATGTTTTTGTATTTCTTTTGTTTAATTCTTTTTACTCTTTTTAAATAAACTTTTTATATTTTACTGAAGTGTGATTCTTGGGGGCAAGGGTGTGAGTGCCTAAAGAAACTGCCTTAGCCACAAGGACTATGTTTGTTATTTTTGTTCTTTTGGTGTCCTACCTGGTAAGGCTGGTGTGCAAGGTTTAAAGTACACAGCCAAAGAGTATTTAA